CCCCTCTTTCTCCCTTCGCCCTCTTGGTACATGACTTACTATCCCCCCCCTCACTTGTTACATTGCCAGGGAACGAACGGCAAGGAACTCGATCCTCACTTGGTGGAAAGTGAGGGCGAGGGGAGGGCTGCCGGTCCCTTGTGCCACCAAGAAGGAAAAGGTAGTGGACTTTTTTTGCGAGCATCTCGGAAAGCGGGAAGAGTGAAGTCTTGTGACAAGGTTAGTTTGACTCAACCGTTTCCCCGACTGCATGACTAAGGAAGAGGTATGGCTTGCTTGAGGGAAGGGAAAGACAATCGAAGGATCATCAAAGGCAAAGGAAACTTAAGCTTGTGGGAAGGGGCGGTGTGTTGACCCCAATGGGGATTGTATTTGGTCCGTGCTTTGTGTGGTGTTGCGCAGGTGAGTAGCTTGGGATGGGCTTTTAGCGGGACGGGATCCGCCGAAAAACCGACAAGGGAAGGACTTGGGCTTTGCGTGGACTATGGATGTGGGAAAAACTTGATTGAAAGCTTGAGTGCATGATAGACCATAGGATGTGACATTCTATGATGAATGAATGAGGTGACTCTTTTGTATGCAATGCAAAGGTCCGAAAAGACTAAGGGCGACCATGAATCGGCGAATGCAACGCTAGTGACTTAAGCAAAAAAAAATATAGGGGCTAGGGGCACGGACGGCGCGACCGCACCCTGATGATGCCATAGAGATCGCCATGCTTAGTGAAAAGGTGTGTGGCCCAATGGATGACGCTTGGCCTGCACACGAAAAGAAGATGAACTCTCAATGAACTCCCTGGACTGCCTGCGTATTGGAAGGAGCAATTGCCTGGTCAGACTCAAATGAATCGAGAAAACGCCACGAGTGATCAAAGAGCTACCATCTAGACGCGAGAGCGGAGCTGCATCCCCCAATGTAAAGCCCTCTCACAAGTGGCCCATCCCCATCCATCTCATAGCACTAGGTGGGGGTGCCCCTGGGACGAACGACCCTCGCCCTGAGCGTGAGCGTGGGCGGGTCGAGCCAAATGGGACCCGCAGTGGGGTCGACTTAGGCTTGAAAGTCCTTCAGGGTACGGCCCCTACAACGGACCGGGCTTTTATAAACTTAACGTATCCACCTTGCAACCAAAAACCTTTCAAAATTACATCAAAGACTGTTGGGAGTTTTGGCACACACAAAAACTGCGTATACCGTACGAAACAGACTGATTCAACAACGGCTTACTATATCTGGGGAAAAAATGCAAAGAATACTCAAAATTGTTAATGTCTCGAAATAATTAACAAGAAATGGAAACCCATAGCCGTCTCCAACAACTTGAACAACAACAACATCCTGAAAACCCCCAGAGTCCAGCATTTCCAAATGTGTTATCTGATATGCAATCCCTACGACAACAACTCCAGACCTTCGCAACACAACGTTGGGAGGGAACACGTATCAGGGGACGACTGACACGCTACGAAACGGAAGGATCAATGGACAAAAAATTCTTCAGCCTGGCCCGTGCACGGGCATGTAGAACCATGATAGAGGCATTATATGTTCCACAGTCAGAACAACAAGAAGTGGAGACCTCCACACCGCAATGCATGCAGATTGCAAGGTCTTTTTTTAAGGATCTGTTCACTTCAAGATGCGCTGGGCGGGAGGGGGCCGCTAGGGAAAAGGAAATAGCAGACTTTGTAAAACCAATGACGAAGACCCTGTCGGGCCAGCAAAGAGAACAATTGGACAACCCCTTATCCAAGTAGGAAATTTAGACAGCCCTGATGCAGATGGACAAGGAAAAAAACCCGAGCGTGAACGGGTTCCCAAAAGAGTTTTGGGAAACGTTTTGGACACTAATGGCCCCGGACCTCATGGGGTTTTACCACCACGTGTGGGAAATAGGGCATATGGGGGAGCTGGTAGGGCAGGGGGTCCTTACCTTACTACACAAGAAAGGTGACTTAATGGACATTAAAAACTACCGTCCGATAACTTTGCTCACAGTTGTCTACAAAATGCTCGCAAAGGCCTTGGCAAACCGCTTGATTCCGGTTATGGACGACATTATTCACCCGACACAGACAAGATTCTTTAAGGGACGAAGAATCCACGATAATATTCTGCTGGTCAATGAGATCCTCAAGATAACAAGACAGGATAAACAAAACGCCGACGTGGTCTTCATCGACTTCGAGAAAGCATATGACCGTGTGGACTGGACGTTTTTAGATAGGTGCATGCAGAAAATGCACATGGGGCCAACCTTCCGGAGATGGACTGAGATTCTCCACCATAACGCTATGACGAGTGTCCAGGTGAATGCACTGATGGCACCAATGATTTCACTGCAACGGTCGGTTCGCCAAGGAGACCCCTTGGCTCCCTTCCTTTTTATCATTGTGACGGAGGCATTGGCTGCGAACCTCTGTACTAATAAAGACCTTAGGAAATTATAGATCTCTGCCATCCCCGAGGAGGCGATCCCGTATGTTCGATGTTCGCAGACGATTTAACGATTATGGCGGACGCCACCCCCGAGAGCATGGAAGAGATCAATCAATTGCTGGAGCGATTCACGACAGTCTCGGATATGAATGTCAATTGGGGGAATAAAACACTTGGATGGTGGATCCACCACCAAGGAGTGCGTCCGCCAGAACAGCCGCAAGTTAAATGGCCACTGGAAAGCGCCCCGGTCAAAGTATTAGGCATAATGCTGACGATATCGGGGAAGCCGACATCGAACGATGAATGGATCCTCAAACAAGCACTAGAAAATTTGACACGCTGGAATGACAAGCACACATCCTTCATCGGTAGAGCATTGGCAATCAACAATGTGGTGCTAGCAGCCCTCTGGTACAGATCTGCACTTTGGGCCCTCAGTAAAGAAGCGGTTAGAACACTCAAGAGACAAACAACCGCACTACTATGGGGAGGCAACAGCGGGCTTCCAAACGTTATAAGCAGGGTGGCCTGGTCATCGGTGATTCAACCCAAAGACAAAGGGGGCTTGGGCATCCTTGACCCAGACACCCAGGTGGCCGCGCTGATGGTGCAATGGATCAAAAGACTGGTATTTATGTCAGACCTTCCCTCGTACACCCTCGCACTGGAACAAATACCTAGATTGACACCACAAGCGCCACGAGGAGTGGACCCCTTGACCTGGCTGGAGGATCGACATTGGCCCATTCCACGACGCCCTCTCGTTGACAGGGACTCCACCAGGGGAGCAGCGAGGAGTGACCAGGCCAGAGATGATTTCTGGCCCCGGGTACTCAAGGCCTGGTGCCAACTACCGCTGCCAGAAAAAAACACGCCAAATAGATGGGAAAAGGTGATGAGGCAACCCCTTTTTGGCA